AGTATGATAATATTTTCCATAACTTACCTACAGGCATTGCCGAATATGAATGCGAATTATAACATAACACAACAACGACATTAGCATATACTGGAAAATTGGTTTCTAACTTTCTACTAGATCATGTTCTATTAAAGTTTCAAGTTTTGTTGTTCTTACTAATTTGTAGTTGTACAATTGGAGAGAAAGAGAATCAAGGGAGAATGCCAAATCATGTGGCGATTATATTGGATGGAAATAGGCGTTGGGCGAAGAAACGAGGACTCGGGGCATTGGATGGTCACGAATCTGGAGGGAGAAGAGTCATAGAGCTCGCTATGGACTTTTTCGCTACGGGGATAAACATTGTCTCACTCTTTGCTTTCTCCACTGAAAATTGGGGAAGACCTGAGGTAATTATATCAAAAATTGAGAGACAAAATCTTTTTCCATATCATTTCAAGGTTTTTTCTTTTATATATTTCCATTGTATTGATTCGGTTAAAATGTTTTTTTTTTTAATTAGGATGAAGTTAACTACTTGATGGCCATGTTTGAGAAAAACTTCAAGGCGGAGATATCTTCCTTCCAAAGGTACCCAACATGTTGCTCTAATCATTTCATGAAGAGTTACATTTTAATTTCTGTTCTTTGTTAGATATAAAGTCAAGATCTCGGTCATCGGGAGCCGGGTGAATATCCCCGAGTCGCTTCTACATTCGATACAAGAGGCTGAAGAAGCTACAAAGAGCTACACAGAGAGGCAACTCCTTATGGCGATAGACTATAGTGGAAGGTTTGATATCTTACAAGCCTGCAAAAGTCTTGCTGAGAAGGCAAAAAACGGGGTGATTCAAGTGGAGGACATCAACGAAAAGATAATGGAGAAAGAGTTAATGACAAACTGTAGTGAGTTTCCAAACCCTGACCTATTAATCAGAACGAGTGGAGAGCAAAGGATCAGTAACTTCTTCCTGTGGCAATCAGCTTACACTGAGCTTTACTTTCCTAATGTTCTATGGCCCGACTACGACAAGGCTGAGTATATGAAGGCCTTGACTTGGTATCAGCAGAGGAACAGGCGATTCGGTCGAAGAGTGTAAACTTTAAATTTCCTTTCTCACCAATAAATTGTTGAGTTACTGAATATGTGTGTTTGTTTGTACGTTTATTAGTTCAAAATGCTACTTTAATTTTCATTGTTTTTCTTTGAAACATCATTTACAACTTTCCAATTTGCACGTTTGTAATTTTTAAAAGGATTAATTACTAAAATAATTTTGGAAAGTTGTCTAATTACTAAAACAACTTTTAAACAAACTTAATACTGAACAAAGGTCATAAAAAACATATAAACCTTAGTAAAAAGTTTTTATTACG